CATGTTATTCTATGTTGTGCTGACCTTTCTGACTTTTTTCTGACCGAACAATCTGACGAGTGGTTCATCCCATCTCATTCGTGGTCTGCCCAGGGGCCTTTTCACTCCTCTTGGAATCCATTGCGTTATTCGACTAGTCCAACGGTTATCATTCACTCTCGCTGTATGCCCTGCCCATCTTCTTTTACTGATGTATATTGTATTACCTTGCGTTGTTGTATTAGATGGTTAAATAACTGAATGAAGTTAATAACTAGATTAAATAACTAAATTACAACGGTTCTGTAATTGTTTATATTTTATTGTTTTATTGGATGCGATGCATTGTTGTTGTATCTGTTGCTGGATTGTTGTTGTTTCGCGATAAATATTTTCATATTTCATTTTTGGATCTTATTTTCAACTTTTGCACTGGTAGTATAATCGCCATTCCGCATATACATATACACGTGTTCGATTTTATTCACATCTATTCATTCGCACGTATTTGAGAATAATGTGAGATCAAAGATCTGAATGAATATTTCGAATTGGATGAACACTTCTAGATTTGATGGATGTTGATGTACCGGTAGAGCAGTGTACGTCAGCGGATGACTGCATTTCGAACAGTGCTCAACAAAATGTGCTGAATGCAAAGAGTGATGCGCATGTGGATCAGCTGGAAGCACTGAAAACTGGACGGGGTATGGCCAAGTCGGGACGGTGGTGGAAAGTGGTCAGGACGAAGAGGTTTGTTTTTATGGTTATGCTCTATTTAATTATCGAGGAAGGTCAGTGTTTCAATGGATTTATTGAGTGGATATTCGAATATGTACAGGCAATAATAAAGCATGAAAAACGGAGCGCTCTGACATCATGCCGGTTGCTGGAATAAGTAAAAAAATAATAGCAGATTAAAATAAAAAGGTTGAGTAAATGGTTATAATAATCAAATAAATTGAATATGGATATGGTTATAATACTCATATAAATGAATTAATGAATACCTAATTGATTTGTTGCATTGCAGATCGTCAGAAGTTGTTAAAGTGAAACCATTAAAATCGTCGTGGAAGACGAAGATGAAGTGGAAAGCGGACACGGAGCAAGTGAAGAAGTTCAGTGCAGAAATACGCGAGAAAAAGAAAGCGCAAAAAGCGGTTCGTAATTTGGAACGTTGTCTTTTGTTCTTCGAAAAAAAAGAAAGAACTCGATTTTCATTCAATTTTATAAATGAGTAATTGAAAAGTGTTCAAAAGATGGTCGTTATCCGAGCAGTTATATAAGAAAGCGATTGTGCAGTTAACGTGTAAGCAAATTAGAGCTGAGCTTAGCTGAAACTGAGACAGAACTGAGGCTGATCTATTCAATAGAATGTTGAATGTGATGTCGGGGACTGAGATGAAGTATAACTGAAAAATTACAATTTTTGCAGTTTAATTACGCATAAAACATGACAGTATTGTCTGAAATGAACACTCTCAATAGGCATTATCTTATGTATACATTACCTTGCGATTACCTTGCGACCTGTCTTCGCTCTCTATGTGGGNGACCTTTTCCATTTCTGACCGAACATTTTGACGAATGGTTCATCCCATCTTATTCGTAGTCTGCCCAGGGGCCTTTTCACACCTCTTGGAATCCATTGCGTTATTCGACCAGTCCAACGTTCATCATCCATTCTCGCTATATGCCCTACGTATACATATCAGTTTATAATCAATGATCGTATTCAGGCCAAGTTGGAAGCTCAGAAGGAGCATGAACGGCGACGGGAAGAGAACGCAAGGAAAGCGGAGATTGTTCAGGTGATCAAGAACACGAATAAACTGAAACGCGCGAAGAAAAAGCAATTGAGACGCATCGAGAAGAGGGATATCACTTGAGATTGAATTAATTTCGTAAAATTCTTGTTTCACATAAATTTCTATGGATTATTTGGTATGAATTTCGATGTGAAAAATTTGAAGATGTTTGTATCGTGATTGATGTTGTTGCTGTTATTATTGTTATTGTTAATGAAAGCGTTATGTTGTTTTCACATGATTCATGAAATCAAATTCAAACTTGCAAAGTAATATAAATCATTCATTTACAATCTTCATCGCAACTCATTCAGCAATCAGGTCATAATCGGAACCTATTTTGCTCTCAAAACTTACTTATTTGTTACATTCGCATGGCTGTTGTTGTTATTTTTTGTTGGATGGAACTATAATTAATTGAATTGAATTTATAATGAAGTGAATTGAATTAGGTGTGATGGATTCTGAAACGAGTCGAAACATGAATACTAACAGCGGTAATGGTAGAAGTACAAATTACAATAAGCAAACAAAGCGATTCAAAAAGACCGGTTCAGAGAATACCGAAAAGCGTCGTGATGAAAACGACACGACGAATGTGAGTGATCATGATAAGCAGTTGTTCGTGTCTTATCAGAATGGTTGGTTCATGGCTTGCTTTATTCGTTGTTCAGTCTTTCAATTACTGCAGAGTTTCTCAACCTGGGGTTCATGGACCCCCTGGGGGTCCGAGAGAGGGTAGGCGAGAGGGAGTACGAGAGTGGATGTGATAAAGGGGGGGGGGTGAGTGAGAAGTGCGGAAGGGTGTGCGAGGAAAGCTAGGGAGTACTAGGGCATCTTAACATTTTATAGGGGTCCACGGAGCAAAAAAAAGGTTGAAAACCAGTGAGTTAATGTAATCTTCCACCAATTTTTGTGGTATTTTTATCGCAAATATGCTTTTAACTTGATTAATTTTGCTGATTTCACTTGTATGATATTCCCTCCCGTAATATAATTGCTAGTTGCTGGAAGTATTCCTCATTTATAAGGGGCATGGTGGTAGGAAGTGAATCAAATAGTAATTTAGTGTTGTTGATAAAATATTACGTGCGCAGTTGGGGATTACCTTACGACCTGTCTTCATTCACTATGAGAACGCAGGTCTACCGAGTTCCATGTTTCTCAAACCTTCTCCACCACTGACCGAATAGCCTGACGAGTGGTTCATCGCACCTCGTTCGTGGTCTGCCCAGGGGCCTCTTTACGTTGCTGGCAATCCAATGTGTTATTCGACTGATCCAGCGATTGTCGATCATTCTTGCGACATGACCTGCCCACCTTTTTTTACATCTCAGTTATGTGATATACATCTCACTTACTGATATATATCTCACTTACTATGTCTTTCGCTTTGGTCATGGGGCGTAAATTTTCGGGAATATTGCGACAATAATTGGTGGTGTTACCGCTGGACTAGTCGATAACACAGTGGATTCCAAGAGGAGTGAAAAGGCCCCTGGGCAGACCACGAATGAGATGGGATGAACCATTCGTCAGAATGTTTGGTGAGAAATGGAAAAGGTCTGCACAACCTAGAATAACAAGGGAATCGATTGACCTGCACCCACATAGAAAGCGAAGACAGGTCGCAAGGTAATTGGTAGTGTTGACGAGACGATTCGCTCTTTTGCAATGTGTTAAATGATCGAATATTATAAGTATTTGTTGGTGTGATCGCAATCTTATATATAAGGAATTGAATGAGAGTATTTCTTAATAAGCAGATTTGTAAAATTTCATTTAGAGCATCGAAGCATGTTAACGATCAAATCGTTTCATTGAGATGTTGCAGAATTGGACACAAGAAACGACAGGTATGAGCGTATAGTGAAGATATCTCGCGATATTACCATCGAGAGTAAACGTATCATTTTTCAACTGCATCGCTGCACCACCAGTGACGACAAGGGTAGGTCGTCGATTCAATTGATTCTTGTGTTAGCTATGTTAGCATCAGTATTGTTACAGAAAATATCCTGAAGAATGCAGCTGAACGTCTGTCAAATTTACGTTCGAAACAATTTTATGCGATTGCAAAAGAGTTGATCAATCTCGATCAGAACATGTACAACAGAGCGATCACTTTTGGTTTGCAAGGTTAGTTGGTTTCGTTGTTGATTGATTACTTTTTATTGATTGGCAGATTCGAACATCGAATTTTAGAGTTTATCGAAGCGTGGTCGTTTTATACGTTTCTCAAAGAGGGAACTTTGTTGCGTTTGGATGAAATTGCATTGGGATTGAAATTCGATATGCCTCATGAAGGGGGCGATGTGGAGAAGAATGAAGGGGAGAGGTATTATTTATCATTCATATTGTTGGTTCTTTATTATTTAGTTTATGGCGTTATATTCGTATTATTTTTGTGTTTGTTCTACTGGACGTCATAATTTTTTGTGCAGATGTTTTGTAGAGG